GCCGGGCGATCCCCCGCCCCTTGCCCAGCTGGCTTGACCATGCCTGGCCAGGCGGCGGCCCAGCATAGCTGGAAAAGGCATTTGGGATAATTTATACCTCCTCCCCCCCTTTCGTTTTTGAATTACGGGCCCAGTGCCCAAGGCCTCGAGCCCTCAACTGCAGGCTGAGCCTTTCAGTTTTTCTAAGAAGCAAATTCTGGCCTTCTTTTTTTTCTTTTGAAGTAAACTGTTACTTTAAGGTTTCTGTGTGTATACTACTGTATATAGTTTGGTTGTTGTTAGAGCCATAGGCTGCTTCGACAAGCTCTGAAAATCCTGAAAAGTGTTAGGGGCGAATTTTGCATGAAACTTGATGAAAGAGCGTTTTTGCCTTAGGGTTTTAGGCCCTTTTTTCTTTTTCCCGCTGTTCGTTTGTTTCTTGTCCACTCTATGGTTTTGGTGTTAAGTTCAGTCTAAACGACCAAACTTGATCACAACCAGCACCAGCAACAACTCCTGATTAGAAATCAGATGGGTGTTCGCCTACTGTTGGGGCAGCATAATCAAGGGTTTTGGTGGCATGCTCACTCCCGGTGGGACTCGAACCCACAATCGCCTGATTAGAAGTCAGACGCCTTATCCATTAGGCCACGGGAGCAATCTGCTGCTTTTTGGTATGACAATATGACATCTGTTAAACCACCTTCTTAGTCTAACAAACCATATTGTATAATAGTTATAAATTAATAATACTGTACTGAAATGAAAAAGAAGCGGTCCTTGTGTTAGCGTCTCCCCCCCCCCCCACACCGGCAGCCTCACCCTACTCCCTGACCACCGCCAATTAGGGTGGGGGGCAACATGCATCCCCTTGATTGTGAGAATGTACAGGTCCCATCGCACTAGAGTCAAGAATCTACCCATGCTTGCAGGGGTCCCCTGCATAGGCTTAGGAGTAGTGGTAGGTAGATAGTGAAAGGTGAAATTGAGAGAAGAATATAGCTGACCCTTTCTTGCTTTCAAAAAAGGGGTCCCATGATCCTGGGGCGGCATGTGTGATAGCCTTCCTGTGCATTCAGTGGCATTGCCGGAGGTGGCAATGGGCAAGGCACCAAGAGCTTGTGTGAAGCTGTAGTGAATGTCTACCATTCAGGTGGGCGTAGGCATTGTAGTAGCAGCCAAGTTGAGGGCGTTGTTGGTTTGCTCGTCCTGATTCCCGTTATTAGGATTTAGATTCCTGCTGTATTAAATTAAATTATTATTAAATAAATGGGAGGGATATGGTTGCGTGCTCACCCTGTTGGGAATCGAGCGCACGACCTTCGGGAAAGCAAAACTGAGGGTCTCTGTGACATGCTCACTCCCGGTGGGACTCGAACCCACAATCGCCTGATTAGAAGTCAGACGCCTTATCCATTAGGCCACGGGAGCAATCCCCTGGGAGTGTTGTCGGATGCTTATCATCGGTTTCAGTTGAGGTGTGTCCATCATCACCTGACTAGAATTTAGATCCATGCGGTATTAAGTTATTAAACAAATTGAGGGATTTGGTGGCATGGTCACTCCCGTCTGGACTCCGAACCAAGAACGTTCTGATCAGAAACCAGATGAGTGTTGCAATGGTAAAACCAAGGGTTTTGGTGTCACACTCACTCCAGGAGCCATTCAAACCCACAATCACTTGATGCCTTATCCATTACTGTCTCCGGAGTTCAAGGCTTTTGGTGGCATGCTCACTCCCGGTGGGACTCGAACCCACAATCGCCTGATTAGAAGTCAGACGCCTTATCCATTAGGCCACGGGAGCAATCTTT